TTATGCTCATTTTGTGAAAAAAATATACAAAAAATCCGAAAAACACTATACCACCTGGTAAAAAATTCGCAACAGATTGAAATTACTATACTTACCATCATTAGTTACAATTCTATTTTTTTATGTTTTTTTCGAAGTTAAATATCGGATTATGTGAAAATCGAAAGCTCTGTTTATAGATAAGAACAGCAAAAGTGATAGAGCTTCTCTTAGTTGAGAGTAATAAATCTCTTTTCGTCAAGCATCAACTTTTGTGAGAGGAGGAAATTTTTGAAAAAAGTAGTAGCCCAATTGATCTTGAATTACCCATTATTGCCCAGTACTCAAAATAATTTAGCTGGTAAACGGCCCATAGTTCAAAAATTCCTGGCTACGCCACTGGTTCCTATTATATACAGTACTATCTTTAACCGGATCCTAAGTGAGATTTCAAACTACAAAGTACTATGACAAACTAAGTAGTAAGAAATCATATCGATGGAAGATTTTTAATTGAAAAAGTCACTGTTTAGTCGTTAATGTTTTACTACGCAAAGTAAAAGAAGGTTCATATACTACTATTTTTCTTAACATTATGCAATGAAACAGCACGGTGAGTGTGGGTGTAGGTGTGAGAGTGGGTGTGAGTGTGAGTGTGAGTGTGAGTGTAGGTGTGAATAAGGATTTTGTGGGAGTGTGGGAAAGTCGCTATATGGGTGTGGGCGAGTGAGTGGGTGTGAATGTGCGTATTTATCACTAGATTCACATCCATATTGCTGCTACGGGATTTTATCCTTCGCAGGTCTGCCTAGTTTGATGTCCAACGAGAAGAAACGCGTTATTTTGCTAGGCGAAGAAGAATAAGGAGAAATACAGAGAGAGTAATGATGTACGGTAAAAGATAAAGAACTGGTGATAGAGCGAATGCAGATGTGACGAAATAAATATATTGAATATATCAGTAAAACAGTTTCAAAACCATGCGAGACAAAACCTATACTATAGAAAGAAATGAAAAATGTTAAGTGAACTCATTCATCATGGTTGTTTTCAGCCTCTTTCTAATCGGTCGACTAGTTTATCTTTAATAAATGCAGCAAAATGTGTATACATAGTAGGCAAAGTACTCAAAGGTATATGTTGCATAATGAAAATCCAATACCTCATATAAATAAAATGATTCGTAAAACGATCAATACGATATGCGGTAAACTACGGTAGAAGCTGACAAAGTGGCAAGACTATTATAGAACAGACGAGAGTGGTAAATAAACACGAGTGAAGAAGAAAGAGAATTCAATGTTTGAAACAGATAGAGAAAAGTATCGTAAATAGCAACCATTGCATTTTCTATCACTGACAAATTCACCTTGATGTGAAGAAAAAAGAAATCGAATTTGTAGTTGGTGGGCTGACAGTGTGCATAAAGTAAGCGGGTAACAAATAAGTTATGCACAACATAAGGTAATAGGCAAAAAAATAAAGGTAATGTGCATAGCTTACCATGCATCTATAGTAAGAACTGCAAAAAAAACAGAATAAATGTGACTGGTAAAGAGATGCGAACGAATCAGAGAGTAGATTTCTTAGATAGAAAAGAGAGTATTGACATGTCACGCAAGCTTGTCCATGTCCTGGCTATCATTTGAGTGTGGTGTGTGGGGCGTGCGTGTGTGTGGATGTGAATGTGTGTGTGTTCCATTACCCTGACCCACACCCACATCACACCCACACCCACCCACACCCCACACCCACCCACACCCCACACCCACCCACACCCACACACCCACACCCACGCACACTCACACTCACACCCACACACCCATACCCACACCCACACCACACCCACACCCACACCCACACCCACACCCACACCCACACCCACACCCACACCCACACCCACACCCACACCATAAAAATTATTAGCACCCTCTTTCGTCATAGTATCTGAATGACTGGTCAACTATGTTCACCAACGGTTTGCTTATTTTCGTCTTTCTTTCTTTTATATCATTCACTTGAGTAAATCAAATCCGTTTAGCAGTATTTTATTTTAAATATATTTCCATACAACTTATTGTTCTTGCATCGTGTTTCAGTTAACTAACATTATTTTCTTGTAGGTAATCATTGTTTTGTTCTCGGTGTTAATTTTCACTCTGATTCAACAAAATTATATAGAAATACATAAGTAAGTTATACCTATTACTTTAAATTTATTTAAGATTTTTTTTGTTTTATATAAATTATATTTTTCTGGTACTTTCTGTGTGCGGTTGGTTTATTTAGCTTTAAATATTTAATTGGTGTTGTCAAGTATGTTTTAACTGTCTCAGGTTTCTTAATTTTATTTTCTTCTATAGAGTTATCTTGTTTATGGTGTAATTGTGTCAGTTTAGTTTTTAAAAGTATACAATATTGATTATAGGTAAGTTACATATTGTATTCTAATTTCTTATTAGATTACTCCCTTTCAGAAAATTTTTGTGATGCTATTTGTTGTTTAAATCAATGAATATACTCGAATTGAACAAGTAAGTTTAATCCAATGTTTTAAAAGAGTTTATTTGGTAAAAGATGTTAAAGTGAGAAGAAATAAAGAAAAATTATTAAAAGAACATTTATAAAGTAGTAAAAGATTTGCCATAGGGATGTAAAGGAAAATAAAAGGAATCATTTAAACAAACTAGTTTTAAAGGTTTCTTGTAACAAATATCATCAAGAATGAAGCAATCCATTTTGTTCGTTTCTTGAACTTCAAAAGCCCGTAATTGTTGCACATAACCTTTAACTGTATACATATTACAAATTAGCGCGCAGTTATTACCATCATACAATATCCATTTGATTTTTCCAACAATCGGTAAAGAAGGAAAATACTCCTTAGAAACATTAAGTACTGAATTATGTGAATATTTATACCCTTTTACGGTCAGGGTTTTTAATGCAGACAGTGGTTTAAATGGTAATTTTGGCAGATTTGAAATAAAAAATTGGATTTGCCCATCAGTAATTGGTTGTCGATTGTCAAGCGCTCCGTGAGAACCATTTGAGAGAGCCGTATGTGATAATGATCCATCATGAGAATGATCATTAATGCAAATCCATAATTCGTGTCTTCGAGCTAACATTAATGAAGGATTCTTTAAATTCCGAACTTTGTTGCCTTTGAAAAACTGATGTTTTCTTTCTGTTGCTAAGCATGATGTATAAGGTAAAGGTCCAAAATCTTTCATTATTACTGGAAAGTGAGTCATAAAATGGAATTTAAATTTCATTTTCCCTGGATATAGTTTTCTAAATTGATCATTATGCATATTTATAAAATGATACAATTGATTAGGTGTAGTATCATTAATTGTAGTTGCAAAACACAATGAGAGAATGTCCACACAAATTAAAATTGCTCGATATTGTGGGAAGTCCGATGAATGCAGCAGTTGTTTTAGAATGAAAGGTAAATTAATAAATAAATAGAATATCTGCATTGATGTAAGCGGCATTCCCAAATTGTTTTGCTTTTTTAGTTCATTAACTGCTAAATCAAGATGTGGTTTTGAGTTCAGCTCTGTTTCATCATATGGAAATTTATTAACTTTCTGACAAAATTCATTCATTGTAAAGTAGCTTTTTGCTAGACAGAAATCCAAGAATGCATTGAGATGATTAGGAAGCACACCCTTAAAATAACAGACGAAAAACTTCTAGATACATTCAGTTTGTGAAATTTTCTCAAAATTATCTATTTTTTTACCAAAATCTTACATGACTAAAAATTGTAAAACTTTCATAATTATTTTCTTATTATTCTTTTGCCTAATAGAACGTGATTAAATTCAGAAAAGATTGTATAAGTAGTGTTCGAAAGAAGACAACTGGCGTCATGACTCTAAACATTCAGAATTCTTTTTTAGTTCACCAAGATCTTGTAAGTTTTTTAATGCTGAAAACAGCTGCTTCACATTGGATAAGCAAACTATGTCCTGTTCTATTGAAAGATAATCCTTCGTATGAGTTACCACAACTTCTAAGTCGTTATGTTACCTCTAACAAAGTGTGCATCATATCATAAGGACATTGACGTGTGACATCATATACTTGGTCAAATAAACTTCTATTATTGATTCCATATTTTTTTGACAGGTGCTCAAACGATTGACCACAGCCTTGAACCAGTTCCAAGTCATCACATCTACCAAAAACAAAGTTTTCAAAGTAAATAGAAATTTTTCTAACAAACCGTTCTCTGTATTGAGATAAAGTAATAGCTGGAAAGTCATAGCAAATGTCTTCCTCTAAATTATCGTGCTGAATGTCACAAAGATGACAAAAATGTGTAGCGGAAACACTTTCTTTAAATCCATTTAAAGACATTTGAGCTGGATAATCACCCAATGAAATAAATAAACCACCAAAATAAGTCACATCATTGCCATTTATCTTTATGGTGATGTCTAATTTTCGAAAATGTATTTTAATTTTTTTGTAATTTGTTGTTAGGCTACCGGTGCTAGAAAGTTGATTTATCCCCATTAAAAAATCATCTATCGTATGCCATAATGAATTATATTTTCTTGCCAATTTGGGATAAGCTGCAATGAGTCGTTTCGATATTTGTTTTGATAGCTTCTCTCTTGAAACATTTAACAGAGACCAATAAAAAAAGAAAATCGAATGTGCACGATGAGAAATAGGATTGATAACTGTTAAATCATCTGAGTTTCATATAATTTTTAAATAAGTTGTTTTTTGAGGGCGTGGGTGTGGGTGTGGGTGGGTGTGGCTGTGGCTGTGGCTGTGGTTGGTGTGAGGATCGAGACATATTGTAAATCAAAATACCAACACCCACACCCCGGTTCTTTGGGAACCGTTGCTGTACTCTACATCAAAAGCATCCACATGATGTTTGTAATCCATCAAGGGGAATTTGCAATTAGTGACTTACTCGATAAAATGGTCAATCGTTTTATTTTAAACAATTCTGAAGGATAATTGAAACTTTATTCAGTTTTACATGTAACACTGTAATTTGTGTTCATCATTAAAATGAAGGTCTACTGAATCAATTGATCATAGATACGTTTAATTATTGTATAAAATCCGAGAAAGGATTAAATTTTANAAGCAAACTATGTCCTGTTCTATTGAAAGATAATCCTTCGTATGAGTTACCACAACTTCTAAGTCGTTATGTTACCTCTAACAAAGTGTGCATCACATCATAAGGACATTGACGTGTGACATCATATACTTGGTCAAATAAACTTCTACTATTGATTCCATATTTTTTTGACAGGTGCTCAAACGATTGACCACAACCTTGAACCAGTTCCAAGTCATCGCATCTACCAAAAACAAAGTTTTCAAAGTAAATAGAAATTTTTCTAACAAACCGTTCTCTGTATTGAGATAAAGTAATAGCTGGAAAGTCATAGTAAATGTCTTCCTCTAAATTATCGTGCTGAATGTCACAAAGATGACAAAAATGTGTAGCGGAAACACTTTCTTTGAATCCGTTTAAAGACATTTGAGCTGGATAATCACCCAATGAAATAAATAAACCACCAAAATAAGTCACATCATTGCCATTTATATTTATGTTGATACCTAATTTTCGAAAATATATTTTAATTTTTTTGTAATTAGTTTTTAGGCTACCGGTGCTAGAAAGGTGATTGATCCCCATTAAAAAATCATCTATCGTATGACATAATGAATTATATTTTCTTGCCCATTTTGGACAAGCTGCAATGAGTCGTTTCGATGTTTGTTTTGATCGTTTCTCTCTTGAAACATTTAAGAGAGACCAATAAAAAAAGAAAATCGAATGTGCACGATGAGAAATAGGATTGGTAACTGCTAAATCATCTGAGTTTAATTCAATTTTCAAATAAGTTGTTTTTTGAAAATATGAATGATTTCTCGCAAATATTCCATCATGAGTGTCTTGAATACAATTTGCATCATAATCAGGAGGAACACGATGAAGATCAGCTTGAACTTCTGGTAGTTGTAAATAATTCGCCAAGCTACGTAGAAATGGTACATACGTGTACTTGACAGTCTTAATTTCTTTATTCTTTGTAATTGTCTGTGAAACGATAAAAGAAATGTGAAATTTTTATAGATTATCATCAATTATTATTTAACCCTCGGATGGTTTTTGTGGGTCCGGCTGGGCCCACATAATACCATTTTTCGTTTCCTGTTACATTAATATGTATCCTTTTCCAAGCAATTTCTTTTCTAGCTCTCAGAACTAAGTTTAGAAAAGAGATCGCTCAGAAAAGGGTACGTATTAACGTAGCAGGGAACGAAAAATGGTATTACGCAAATTCAGTCAGATCTGCAAAGACCATCCGATGGTTAAAAAGAGAACTTGTCCTACATAAAAGTTAGACTAAGACTGATTGAAGAATATACCTGATATGAACGACTTATTGGTTCGATGTAACCAAAGTATTCAGCAGCTTTTTTCTTTCGAATATGATTAGATTTCAATATATCCAAACCGACAGCTAAAGCTTTGATATTCTACAACAATTAAAAGACGAGAGTTATATGGAATTGATTAATACTAAGATTCAGACCAAATTAGCCTTTGAAATGGCGTGAAATAATTCCATTAAATTTGAAATAACAAAATCAATAGCTGCCTCAGATGTATAAAATACTGTCTGAAGAGTTAGCAAAAGATACAAAACACGTTTTTCAAACATTTTGAGCAGTTCTTCTTCGCTTAAATCTTCCGTAGTACTGCTAGTATTTGTTGACTCGTTCTCCAGATGTTTATCTTCTTCAACATCTTCCCCAAAAGCATCTGCCTGGCAACTTGGATGTATCATATGCACATCATTATCTTCTTTCTGTTCATGTTGTTGCATATCTTCATCATTGACTTCTTTTTCATTTATATGAAAACGAGACCAACTAAAAATTAATGATGATTATATTCTTAAAAATAAAAATAAAAAATTCTCACTGAGTTTGAAGACTTCGAACATTACTAAAAGAACCACCACATGAGCAGATAAGACGAATATTTTTACTGTGACTATGTAAATCATGTTGGTGTTTTACATATGATGTTAAAGTGTTAAAATCAATTTTACAAATAGAACAGTGTATGCTTAATCTAAACATAATAATTCATATTTGTTTCTCTTTTCTAGATGAAGATAATATTCGAACATGAAGATCGAAAAACAACAGTTATCGGAACCGATTATAATTCAATTGTTCACAAAATAAGATCACTTTTTCCCAATGAAAATCATAGATCAATTCAATTTTATGATACTGAACTTACTGATTACTTCGAGTTTAATTCATTTGAACAGATCAGTGATCTATCGAATGGAATTAAAATGCATTTTGATATGTCAAATACATCAAATTTATTTATTGACGATCATTCTTTACCATCATCGTTAAATAATGGTAAAAATGATGAAAAAAATAATCATGTTACACCAAAAGCTCATTCAAGAAGAATACGAAAAAAAAACAAACTGAACTTGATGTAAGTTTTCTGATTTAATTCTTGCATTTTTTTTCAATTGTTTTTTTCTAGGATAGAAATGATGAACCAATTGTATTACCTACATAGTGTGATTTAATAACTCAGGGATTGCAATCACGCGGTTTGTTAAATACTTCCTTAAATTTTTATTGGTTCTATATGTTGTAGAGTCTTTTTCTTCGATTCAAAAAGCTTTTTTTGGAGCAAACATGTACTCATTTTCTTCGACAATATTCCGATTCACCATCAAAATCTCTCCACTATTCATTCGTCTTAGCACTTACTGAAAAATTTCCAGTATTAAATTATTTAGATAAAAATATTGACGGAAAAAATGGTAGAGCACCACACGTAAGTTCCTTTTAACATATTTAAACAGCTAATGAATTATTTCTATATGAGTACTGAAGGTATGTTAAATACGTGTATGACATACATAGAGAATGTAAAAAAGCAATACTGAAGGAATGTGATACATAAGGAATTATCCAATAGAAGAAGAACAAGGCATAGGAAAAGTTCAGTAAATAATGTAGGGAGAGGACCAACGTACTAAGTGTTAGAATCTATTGGGAAAATTTTGAACAAGTGCCACTTTCTTTTTACTTGTAGCACACGATCTCTCAACTGATTTCTCGAAAGAAAAGGTCCATAAAATATTCCAAAACTCATCCAACACCGAAACGATCAAGATTATCCACAATCAATTCAAATGCTAATGAGAAAACAAATGAAGAATTGGTTTCTGAACAAGCACAACAAAAAGATGATGAATTTGTTGCAACAGTTCAAGCTGATGACAACAGTTAGTTTATGTAAGATTAAATCGAAAAGAATTAATCTTTTTTGTTTATAGATTTATTGAATCAAACTTCACTGAATGATTTATATAAACTATTATATGAATCCAGTATAACTAAACCACCACCAGCATCACCTGACTTAAGTAGTACGTAATTTAAATTCAAAGCAAAAAATAAATTATTGTCTTAACTTTGAATTTGTTATTTTCCTGTCTAGAACAAACAACTGCATGACTTCCACCACCAAAGACACCAATTCGACCACCAACAAGTTCGAAAAATGATTGACAAGCAACTATTTCATTAGTAGCACCATCAAATCCATCATCTGTTAATGTTTCGTCGATTGATACAACATCTATTTCAAGTAAATTACCTCTTATAACAAGTACGCCAACTGCTCTTATTTATCGTGATGGTCAAATGCATTGAACATCAGGTAAATATTTTAACTTTATAGAAAATGAAAATAGTCAGCATTGTTCAAAGGGAAAGAGAAGAGACGAATTTTCGATAGCTTCAGCGAAAAATTTTGTTTTTCTTTTCAGTTCTGCTCGAATGAATCAGTATAGCCTATGCACTTCATGATAGAAGAAAAGTAATCGTAAAAATTATCTTTTACAGAAAATTTTTCTTCATTTATTCATTGTATTGATTCTCAGTGCTTTCATATATTTCTATTAGTAGTAAAAAGACAATCAGGTTCGTTGAGACAAATGATTAGTCCTGTCTTTTACTGTTTTTAATTAGAGAGTTTACTTGTCGAGTGAACGATATATTGAAAACAGCAGCCTTACATCAGTCTGAATGTTTCTTTTGCATAAGAAGCCGATTTATTTTATATTTCAGTACAATCACAATCTGTTGTGACCGTTCATAAAGCAATATTACCTCGAGATGCTGTGAAGAAACAAAGTATAAGTTTGTATTCTATGCAGTTCTATAATTTACTATATTTCAGAACAAAATGAAACACATAATTCTACTCTTCCAACAACAACCATTAATGAAGCAACAAATAATGTTTTAAGACGTGAGTTATTTTATTTTATTTTTTCATAGTAATTGTCTGTTTGTTATAGAAAGCTCTATGGACAATACAGAACAATTGAAGAATTCAACAAATGATGAAATCTGGTATCCAAAATTATCACGATCTGAACAAAATGCATATGAGAAAGATATTAGTCGCCTTCGATCAATTGTTAAACCGAAGGGCACATCAGTAAATCATGTCTCAGTTGGAGAGATTCATGTTTTTATTCGCAACAGTCATCATATTAGACGTCGAATGTTATTCCAAAACAAAGATACCGATTTTACAACGAAGGTATTACAATATCAAGAAATTTTTCACGAAGAAACAGTAAGAAATTTTTTTGTTTGATTTATTGTTTTTGATCATAAAACTGTTCTTTTCATTTTTATTTTTCCTCTTGATGATGATTTCTATTTCTACTTCTTTCATTCTTACTATCTTCAAAGTCGTATAAGCTCGACTGTTTGAATTAATTGCCATTTTTATTTTGTTACAGCTTGTTTTTGAATATTCGTTATTGAAGAATAAATTATGTTCATTTGAAGAACTTCAAGATGAAGCACGTGAAATACTTAATGATATTATTCAAAAATATTCAGTTCAAAAACAACATCAGGTGAGTATATCTGTTCTGCCAATTATCTTCTTTTGATTCATTTTTTTTTCATAAAGATGAGCGAAGTTGATTTTATGGCAATAAAAAGTTTATGTGAAGATCTTCGCGAACAAAATATTTTCTTTAAGGTAAAGCATTTTTATTTTTTTAATTAATTTTTTTTTGTTTATTCAGTATGGTTTACCTGATCCTCATCCAACAATTGGAACTTTGATAATGCCATCATCAACTAAAGAATTTGAGAAAGCTTTTATGTTCATAAGAAATCTGCCCTATAAAATGCCGGTGTCTATTGGAAGTGGTGGTCTTCATCAGATAGTAGCACTGCTTCTCATTTCGTACATAACACTAGATCATTTGCCTAGTCATAAATTACTTCAAATCCTGTTCGAAAAATGTAAAAAAAAATCAACGATAAGATAGTATAATTCTCATGCACAGATATTTTTTGTACTTTCGGCTATTTATTTTTTCTTGTCTTTATTAATTTATACTTGAGCGATTTCTAAAATTGTTTTTTGTATATATATTTTTGTGAAACTGAACCATGTAATATTCATTCCATTCTGATATTGTATTCTCTAATTTATTTTCTTTCTAGATAATATCTTTTTCTAGATGTAACCATTTGTTTATTTTTCTAGATCATATATTTTTTTTCTAGATAATATTTTCTACAAAATATTTATTTTTTTCTACACGATTGTTTTCTAGATAACATTTATTCTTTTTTCTAGATGATTTTTTTTCTAGACAATATTTATTATTTTTTTGAGCATAACATTTAATTTTGTTTTTCTAAATAATATTTATTTTTGTTCTAGATAAATTTTAATTGTCGGTATATTCTTGGTAGTGGTATATTTGAAGAAGACAATTTTCAACACCATTTCAAAGGATCATGAGAATTTAGTTTGAGTTGAGTTGAGGAAAGAACTTTATCTCAACATACAAGAACGAGCGAGTTAGGATATAACTCTCGTGCAATTTTTAAGATCAAT